ACCACATAACCTCCCTGCTTCCCCTGCTCCTCAGCTTTCAATTACTGACTTTAAAAGTACAATCTGAATCCATGTGATTCAAAATGACCTTGTTACACCTCCCCTTACCTCCCCTTGCAGGGCTCTTGTACTGCAGCTCAGAGTATAAAACCTCAAAACATGACTTTGCTCTAAGCCCCCGCAGCAAGGGACAAGCCACAAGCTGTTTAAGTCTATAAAGGTACATCCAGAGCCAGTGCAGGAGCTGCAGAGAGAGATCGGGGAGCCTAGCTCCAACAGCTTCCAACCAAGTATTTAAACCTACCTGCCTGTTAAATGTTTTTAATGTTCATTTCCTGAACTCTGAGCAGCAATAACCACTCTTCGTTAGAGCACTGCATTAGTCATTATTGAAGTCATTACAGAAGTTAATAAGGATAAGTTATGCATAGATGAAGAGCCCACCACAGCTCACATACAGCACTTAATACAACTCTTTTTCTTTAGTTTCTTCCCTGCTGCTGGGAAAGACAGGCACCCTTATTTGATACGGCCCTGATTCACACATTCACATGGCTGCCTGGTGCCCAGCACAGAGCTGTGTGGAGGAGCACTGCAGTGAGAGTTGGGGCAAGATGCTGACTTCATCCCCACCATCCCCACAGCCCTCCTTTGGGGTAGGGGACTGCTCTTAGCAGTCTTCTACAGCACAGCCCGTTCCCACTGAGGGCAATGACACAGCCTAGGCATAGATGCTAGTTTAGATGTTACCAAAGCAGCAAACATTGCCTTACTCAGAGTTAGTAACAACACAGCACTGCCCCTCCCAGATGAAGAACACTTGCTTTCCCAGCACAGAATTCACTTAGTAGCCATTTGCAGCTTAATACATTGTTCCCAGCTTCAACACAAACTTGCCACTTAAACCACATTGTTTTAGAAGAACCGGCAGATTTAAGCACAGTCACACAGCACACAAACAGAAACGTTAAACAAAGCAACCGACCTCCCGCAGAACAGCCCTCATTACACGCCCAACCCTCTCCTCAAGCAGATATATATTTCCCATTTCCCCAAAAAACAAACAAACTGCATTTCTGAAAGTACTTTGAAAATAAAAACAACAGTAAAAGTAAAAAAAAAAAACAACCCTTACCTAGAAGAAGCAGCAACTGCCAACCACCAAGCAGATCCAAAAAGAGAGGCAACCAGCACACAGGTGGCACAACTTTTAAACTAATTACAGGCACAGCTGGGCCCTACTGTGTCAATTAAGCAGCTTTTGCACTGCAGAAAAGGTTACCTATGTGTAGCCTTGGGTGATGCACTAAGCAGTAAGGCCTCAGTGTCTGAAACCAGAACACATGCTACACCTTGTGCACAAAGTGCTCACACTCGTAATTAGGAGTAACAGGACCACATTGCGTATCACCCAATGAAATAGTTAGTAGTAATCTTACATTCACCTTGATTGTGGGCAACTTCAGTGCTACAGCAGGCAGCCAGGCTGGGTCAAGTTGTGAGCACATCAGAGGCTGCGTCCCAGCTGGCTGTTGTTATGGAGTTATAGAGGTTGGGAGGGGTCTCTGGAGCTCATTGTTGCATCTTCCTTGGAACACGCCACCATCTGAGGCAATGGGCAGCCCCAAATGCTGCCCCACAAAAGCACTATTTACTTGAAAAAAAATACATAGTCCATTGTGGTTGAAGCATGGGTTTACTTGTTGGTATCCCACTCCACCTGATGGTGACCTCTGTAAATGAGGTGGCACAAAGGCCAAAATGGCTGCAGATGTTGGCCCATGCAGCCATTGGTGTTGTACAGGTTCTGAGAAGCTAAGGCTGCCCTTCAACACCAGTCTCTACATAAAGTTAAACGGTAAGGGCCAGTATACAACACACAATAAAACCAGGGGTTGTGTGGCAGAGACCTCTCCTATGCAGAAAATAGCACTGCCTGGCACTGCTCAGACACTGGGAGAGTTGCACAGAGGTGCTTATGTCAACTCCTGTTTAAAAATTCAAGTCCAATTTGGGCCATGTTTGCCCATTCTGTGAGGATTTCAGGCTTTATTTTCAATTGTACGCCAACACATGAGGAGTTTTAGCAGAGCAGCACCATAAAGCCGTGTGGATCTGAGGGCTCTGCCAAGCGTGACATCAAATCTTCCAAAGAGTGAGGTTAGATAAAGCACCAGATAGCAGAAAATTCTTGATTGAAATAAAACACCAAACATTTCTCCTTGGCTAGCAACAGGTGAGTTCACAGGAAACATTTCCTTATCCACAGAAGTTTCTTTTATGGCAAACCCACAGGTTTCTCTGCCTCCCAAGAAAACTGTCTCGCAAAATGTTTAAAATGTTATCAGCTTAGAAAAAAATAACACTACTTTTAACTGATGGGAAAGGAGCCCGTTGGCTCTAAAGTTTCCATCCCTGAGTCGGGCGCTCAGTGTTGTTTGGGGCCTTTGTTCGGGGTAAATCAGCCATCAAAAATCCAGCCCTGCTGCTCCTCGCATGTGCTGGGCAGGATGACAGGAGGGATCCTGCAGCCCAGGCACTAATTACCTGTCCAGACACCTCAGGAGCTCCTGCGAGCAGCTGGCAGGGGAGAGACCTGGCTGGGGTTTTCCCCATTCCCTCCACATCCCCTGTGGCTGTTGTGGCCACTAACTACCATTTACAAGGATGGGAACCACTTCATTGCCACGGGGACATGGGCAAGTTTGGTGTTCCCTCCTTCCCTGACTACTTCAATGATACATTCACGTGCTGGGCAGATAATGTCCCAGTGGGGTTTTGTGGATGCTGAAGGTGGGAGAAGCATTGGCAAACCCAGACCCATGCCAGAGAATCTTTCATAGCACAGAATCACAGCATATCCCGAGCTGGAAGGGACCCTGCACTGTTTTTGCTGAGGACTCATATTCATCAATGGCTGAACTCCAACAGTCACCAACTGAAACACACTCAAAGGCTGGGGGAGATGAAGGCATCACCTGAGCACTGAAAGGTGAGCGTTTATCCCAAACCAGCACACAATAATGACAGTGCCCCAGCGGGCTTTGTTTCTCTTTTTTACACCCTCTCAGTAACAATAATAATATAGAATTTCCTTGAAAAAAGGGCAGAAGGAAAAGTTTCCCTCTGCTCCATGAGCATGATCCCCCATGCACCCCGGGACAAGGAGGGTTCCCCAAAGCAGCACCCAGGGCACTGGGCTCACTGCACTGTGGGGTCAGTGGCTGAGAGGGAGGAAAAAAACAAAACAAAACAAAACAAAATAATAATAAAAAAACTAATAAAAAAGCAAAGTAGGAATAAAAAAAAAAAAAAAAAAAGAGCTTAAATTTTTGCAAGAGAAAACAATCCTCCTGCCGGCAGCTGTAAATAAAATAACAGCAGTGGGGTGATTTGCAACCATGTAACGGGCTTTTGTCTGCGCCTATTTCTCTCTGCCTTGAGGGTTTCTGTGTTCCTTCGCCGCAGGATCCCAATGTTTCTCCCTCCGGTACAAAGGCGGAGGGCTGCAGCCCCTCCCCCGGCTGCTCGCCCCCAATCTGCCCACGCTGCGGCTCCGGGGGGTGCAGGGCTCCGCAATTTAGGATTCCTGTTGGATTTTCAAGAGCACCGCTCTAGGACGTGCCAGGTTTAAAAACGGGTTTACTCATCTTTTTAACTCTTTCTTTGCCCCCAGATTTTTCACGAAGCCCATCGGGCATTTTGCTCCCTGTAGGAAAGTTAGAGGTATTTATGAGTCTAATTAGAGGCATTTGTAAGAGTGATTAGTGTGAAGTATCAGCTGCTGGTGGCTGCGTGTGTGTTCACACATGGATGCAACGCCGCAGTTCACAATTTGTTCCTGTGCCTGAAAGCTGCGAAATGCCCCGAATTCCCCCAGGCAGGCGCTGTGCACGGCTGTGCATTGTGCTGTGCAGTGTGCTGTGCTTTGTGCTGGGACGGAGCAGCACGTGGCTGAGCAAAACCAAATTTTTTGAAATTACGTTATTTTTTATTTTTTAAGAAGAAAAAAAGGTATGAGTGTTGGAAGGCAGTGTTTGAGTCCTTGGGACAAAGTCTGACGTGGCCCCACTTGTGCCTTGTGATTGCCAGTCACACAGGTGCAACATCCTACCTCCCTCCTTTTGCCGTCCTCAGCTCCAGGGCTGTAGGTCTGCAGCACAGCAATCCCTCATCCACTCTTGTCCCATATTTGTCAGCAGCACATCACAGGAGGTGCTTTGGGGACTAAACTCATCTAAAAATGAACAATGAACTCAAACACAACGCTGTGTAGTGGGGCTGTGCACCCCTGAAGTCCCAGAGTGAGGGATGCTCTGGGGCCAGACGTTCCACAGTCACTGAACATCCTCCAGAGCACAGTGAGTCCCAGAGTGCATGGACAAGACACTGAGCCATGCATGAGTGCTCACGGGGACAGGGCCTCAGCACCATATACCTTCAGCCCTGGGGATACTTGCTCATATCCTTGTGTCTCCCCAAACCCAGTCAGAGCCCCCAGGTGGCCAAGAGCTTTCTGACGCCTCTGGACAGCTTGGGTCCCTCCATCCAGGTTTATTTTGGCAGTCACCATGTAAACACAGTGGGAAGGTGAGCACTGCTGCCTCCACACACTTAGAGAAGCTTTTAGCTGGAATGGCTTGGGGAAGGTAGGGAGAAAAGTAGGGAATATTTTAATAATAGACTTATTCTAGGAAATTGAGGTCTGTTCCCTGTCACAAAAGCTGATTTCCCAATGGTGTGTATAGCAGTGGGTCATGCAGTTACACTGCACTAGAACCCAGCCGCCCACACCAGCAGCAAGCAGCAGCCCCAGAGCGCCCAGGACACAAAGCTTGGCCTCAGCAGATGGAAGGCCGTGGTCAGAACTCCCCCCCAGGGTCACACTACAGCAGTGCACACAGTGCCTGCCAGGTAGACTGCAGCAGCAGGACTGTCTCTCATCTTTAGGGAGGATTTTTTAGGGTATTTTTTCCACACAAGAGGGTTTTGGCCTGAAATCAAGCTTATCCAAATCTCTGTCCACATATTTTTGCAGCCAGTGACGGAAACTGCCACAATAAAATTCATTCTTCATCGTGATCTTCGCTGGAGACTCTTCTCGAATGCTCCCTTTAAGCACAGTGCTCCTCCTTTCCATGTTAGCATGTCCCGCAAATGCAGCCACTGCTGGAATACAGGTACCTCAGGGCTTTGACAAAAAAAGAAATAGCTCAAAGACAAATCACTGATTTCAGAGAGTGCAGCCAACAGCATTGGGGTTAATGAACAAAATGACACGTTGGAGAAGTAAGAACATTGATCTCACTTTCCTTAACCAGCCAGGTAATGTGGGGGCAGGCACCGAAATTGTAACTAGAAACATACAGATGTCATTAAAACACACAAAACCCATCATATACATATTTTAATTTTATCAGAACTTTTGTTTGCAGAGATACAATAAATATAGATGGCACTGTTACTGTGTAAACATCTTCCTTCAAATCACTGAAATGTCAATGTAGATTTTAAAACACAGTTGTATATACTTTCTTTTTTTTAAGTAGAAAAAGAGCAAATAGTTATAACAAGTAAAATGCACTTGAGAAAAGTCCTGAAATGAACTGAAAAAGGATGAAACCATGTGAGAGAATACATCTGGAAGAATGGCATTTTTGTTTGCTTAACAATAATCAAATTTTCCTAGCAGGAAAGCTGGATGGGAACTCCCTGTACCATCCTTCATTAGTTTCAATTAATAGTTTATTTGCCATTAGTTAATGTATGATACTGCTGGGTCTTTTTACAAGCAGCCAGTGCAAGTTGAGAAGAAAGTATATTAAATACCAGAAGGAAAATGAGATGATATAAAACAGCCCCTGATCCTGCTAACCCCTGCTCCTCGGAGCAATCCCCTTTCTTTCCTACTTACTGCACAGTGCAAGAGCCTCGGGATTAAGTCAGATCTTTGAACCATAATTCCAATAATTTGGAGAGACAAATGTGCCTTTCGCTCAACTTAAACGTTTCCTTTTAAAAGAGGCTGTCAAACCTGAAAGCACATTAAATTCACGTTTAGAACAAACTTTGTTCTTGCATGGTTCCAGGCACAGGACACAGACGCGGTGCTGCCCGAGGTTCAGGTGCCGGATGGACAGCTGCAGGAAGTCAGGGCTGGCAGTGCCTCACGCTGCCCCTTCACCACCACAGCTGCTCCTGTAGGTGAAGGAGGCAGAACAGAAGGTGATACTATTCAAACATTTATCATACAGCATTGGGCACACTGTCAACAACAAAAGACATGTAACATGTAGCCCTTCTTTCACATGTATTAGTGAACAACCAGTCACAAAATGTTATTTTATTTGCAAGACTGAGTTCTGAGTTTTTGGTCTACTTCTCATTCTATTTTCCAGGACAGTTTTTGTAATTGTTTGGATCTAGCTGATAGATTAGTATCACTAATTCACTCTTTCTAAAAGAAAACTAGATTGAGTCATTTAATAATTCAACATTAGACATCTTTGAACCCAAAATTATTAGACTGCCTTATAGATCAGTAAGGCACATTTTGCCTCAGTTTAGTAAGAAATATTTCATTTCCCCCAGTTTCATCTGGTTAGACACAAAAACTTCAGGACTTCTCAGCTATTTGCAGTGTCCCAAGTGTAAGAACAAAACTGGGTTACTCATGTTTACCTCTGTCCAACAATGGTTAGACTACATCCTTATGAAAATATAAAAGCAGTAACAGATTCACAGCAAATTCACAGAACATCAGCTTCTAATGATTCAAGGTATTTGTGCAGGAAGCCTATTTATTATTTTTAGATTGTCACACTGTTTGTCCCATGGGGAAATCAAAATGCCAAATGACTTTATCACTTTATCAGAAATACCAAAATGCTACAAGCAGAGCTTGTAGGGCTGGGCCATATGCTGGCCTTGTACAGCTTGGCAGGTAAGCAGCCAGTTTCAGCTCCTTCACTGCCTAAACCTTTGGTAGAACTGGTTTGTGCTCAGATCTAGCACAGGATTTGGCCAGGTCTGACTGGCCACCCATTACCTGCACCCATTAGGTACTATGGCCAAGGTGTCAGAGAGACACCTCCTACTGAAGGGTTAAGACTCAGGCAATGCCTGGCACAGGTCTCCAGGTCAGGGAAGAGAAAGCGAGTGGATCTCCTGCACTAAAGTGAAAAACTCTGTGTCTGACACTTCGCCTGTCTACATAAAGGGTACTTCAGTTTGGCCCAAGCCTGAAGTTGCTGTTTAAGTAGCCCTTGTCTGTAGAAATGTTAGGAGACAGTCCAAGCACCATCACAGCCTGGCACATCACTGAAAAAGCAGTCAGTGTGATCCTGCAAGGGTATAATGGTCCTTCTGAGCAGCATCAATCCAAAATTAATTTCCCTTTCTCGTGACAGTACAAGCTCTAGCACAAAGGTTTGGTCTATGAGAGCAGTTGTGAAACACACACAGAGATTTTAATTTCTAGTTTGAAATATTGTCCTATGGGCAGTCAGATCTGGGGCTGAGCACCAGCACAGTCACAGCTGAAAATCCACAGTTACAATTAGTAACTACTGAGATCCAAACAGGTGCAACAAGTTATAATTGACTGACATCTTGATGAACATACTTACAAGCCATTTCCAATGCAAGGCAATGTAGAAATACTCTTATGTAAATACTCACTGGAATTTGTGGAAAAACAGGAGAAATTAAGCCAAATAATTTTTCAGTTACAATCAATTTGACGTTTGTTTTGTTTGAGCTTTTTGAGGGAAGTTCCCGAATATCCCACCAGGCTCTAACAACGTTTGGAATACGCTGTCCCTCCGGCATGCCTCATACACGTATAGGTCAGCCACGTGCCTCGTGCTCAGCCTGCAGCCCATGTGATGCCTTGTTTACCCACTGCACAAGCAGATACGTGCAGCAGCCATTCCATGGCAGAACTTGCCTCGAGTCCACCACTTTGCTGTGCTGGAGTCTGCAAACACTGGGTGGCTGTGTTCCCCTCCTCCTCCCTGTTCAGCAGCGTCCACGTTTGTTGTTTGGAGTGAAACTATTCCAGATTCTGGAGAGCAGAAACACAGAGAGAGACACCGAGGGCACGAGCACATTATCAGAAAGAATTTGAGTGCTCCCAGCAGCCCAGCAGCAAATTAGAAAGTTTTGGCTCCCAAGAATGAGTTGTGTTGTTTGTTCCTGCACACTGCAGCTGCTCTTTCCCTCTCTTCCCCATCCCCCTCCATTGGGTGGTTTATTACACACAAGCCACTAATGAATGGGAGCCGCTGTTTTACAGTACACCACACTTACAGGACTTATCTCTAGGCCCACCACAGATTTGACTGATCAACAGCAGGGCACCACCATCATAATTCTTCCTAGAAACAGGAGGATAAAAAGGGGTTTGTTGGAGGTTGGCTGCGTCTGCAGAGAATCCTGCCTGCGGGGCCTGCTGATGCCATCGCTCGCTGCTATGGTCTCTGGCCTAATAAGGTACAGAAACAAAGATTGTTCACTTGTTCAAGAACACTAAAGCACCCGAGTGACGGAGAGTGGAGGCAGCGGGGCACACATCCAAGTGGGATTAAGGCCACAAGTGCAACTTCGCAGGGCTGGCTGGGTGGCAGGGGGATATCTGCCTCTGAAAAAAAACACCCAGTTCAAACATAATTTATAATGTGTCACTCAGTCAGAGGTGGCTGTCATTAAGAGTTAAACGTCGCATTGTGTTCAACTCATTCCGATAAGAATTCCCTAAGCTGCTTATATGTTATCATAACTCATGAGGAACTGGAGCAAGAACAGGGAGGGGGGAGGCTTTAAGGGTAGGATGAGACCCAGCTGAGGTGCAGGGACAGGGGAGCAGTACTGGATGGCCGCCATTTTGGTGTGGTGTGCCAGATGCTGTGGGGCAATGCTGGACAGGCACCATTTAGGTGTGGTGTGCCCATATACTGCAGAAACACTGCCACACACACACAGTTTTGCTGCGGTATGCCCACAAGTTGCAGGGCAGCAGAGGACAGATAACCATTTTGGTGTGGTGTGGAGTGCCACATGCTGCAGGGCAGTGCTGGATAGCCGCCATTTTGGTGTGGAGTGCCCACACACTGCAGGGAAGTTCTGGAGAGCCACCATTTTGTTGTGGAATGTCCTTACACTGCAGAGCAGTGCAGGATGGAAGCCATTTTGGTGCGGAATGGTGTGCCCACATGCTGTGGGGCAGTACCAGATGGACGCCATTTTGGTGTGGTGTGGAACAGTGTGCCCACACACCACCAGGCCCAATGTAGTACACAAGGTGCAGGCCCTGCTTCATTATTACCTCAGCTGTGGAATAAGGGAAATTCAGCACAGCTGGCAGCTTAGCTGCTGATAGTGAAGAAGGAAGATATGTTGTAGCCAAGTAGGATGCCCTTCAGTTAATATCGCTTACTGGAGATGGGCCCCAATGGCAGAGCAGGCAAGCAGCTCTGGTGGGCAGCACTCAGTGCTGCTGGCTGGCCTGGCAGCTCTAAAGTTTTTTTCTCTGGCCTAGGGAAATCCAGCAGTAGGCTCTCACTGAGGGCCCAATCCCACTGAACTTCAGAGGCCTGGTAGAGAAACTTCCCCCAACAGTTTTTCTGCTGCCTTGCGTTAGGTGTTGAGGGAAATCCTGTGTGGAAAAAGGACAACAGCCCCATGAGATTGTCCATTGTCACAGCTCTTTCCATAGCAGCTCACTGACCTAGCACAACATCCAACCCAATCCCCCGCTGGGAGAGGCTCTCTGGCACAACCTGTGCAGAAAGGCCGTTTGTTTATCTGCTAGCTGCGACTGCCGGATCGCGTTACACCTGCTGGGGCTGCCGGTAACGTGGGAGGTGGATGTTAGCTTGGCACTGTTGCTTTTATAAAGCCTTTAATGTAACAGGCTCTGGCTGTGTTCAGGTGCTCACCCATCAAGTCAAGGCTTAGGGAAGCTTGTGCTGAGACATCCCAGGCTCCCATTTCCTTGTCACTCAACTCAACAACTGCAGTCTGGCTGCGGTAGGTGTAGGAGAAATAGTTCTTCTGCATCTCATAGTGAAACAGCCACCCCCACCTTCACAGCCATGGATTTCAGCTTTCCTTGGCCTTTCCAATTGCTTGTTGTGATGACATCTTACACTGAGCATAACTGGCTCTCTGTGCTCAGCCAGGCACCAGAAGATGAGATGCGATCATGAGGGTACAGCGAGTCACGAAGGACATACCACTCTCCAGCAGTGTCAGTGATGAGAGATCTTCAGCCAAGCTTGGTTCCCCAGCCTCCCCCTCTATGGCTTTCAGGTTTGCTCTTGCTGAGGGAAGAGGAAGTCCTAAACAACTTCCTTGCTTCCCTGAGGCATATTGCTGTGTTATTTCTGCCTGGTCTGGCAGGAGACCGATGTTTCCAATTTGTGTGTAACCATTCAGAACCATTCCAAAAGGTATCCAGTTTTCTGGGTACTGCAAGGCAAACATATCACCAGCTCCAGCTGTCCTCAGACAGGCATGAGCTCGGATGGGTAAATCACAGCCAGCTTTGCTGGCTACCACACAGTGGTAACTGCTTTGCTGCTGCTGTTTTGTGGACACCACACTACAGGTGTGGAGTCCAAAGAATCTGCACCTTGTATGTGCAGGTATGGACTCAGGTCGGCTTGCACTTATGGAGAGGTTCCTGTGCCTCTGGCTGAGGTGTTACAGGCTATCTGGCAGCTGATATCTCAGAAAGCAGTCAGCGTGCTGCAGCTGTCCCTTTCCATGGTGAGCAAAACGAAATCAAACTGCATGCGCCCATTCCTCTCATGCAGCCCAGCACTGTATGGAGCACAAGCACACACGGGAGGTGGACTTACTATACATATAATGGCAAAGATTTCTTCTAATAAGTTTCTCCTTCTGAAGTCACTCAGGCTTCATTGAATCTCGCCTGAAAAAGTACAAGACAAGTTATAAGTCAAAATGGAACTCACTCGTTTATCTTCCCCATCTGTATGGAATGCAATCAGACAGAATAAATAAATACTGAAAAATGCATTTGTTTTAAATGTCTGTGAACAAAGGGTTTGACATATTTGCAGTATGTAATACTGTTTTTAAAACATTATTTTAACCACCTGATACAATCAATTAAATATAGAATGCAACGCAAGTTGTATTTGCATTCTGGAAGAGCAGCTCTGAAAGAAACTGGAAGTGTGGCAAACATTCTGAAAAAAAAGTGCTTTGAACAGGGATTGAGATCTCCTCGAAGGGCTGCAACAGGACTGACTTTATAGTATTACTTGTAAAAGACAAGTGTCCTGTTTTTCCTTGCATGACAGAGCCACTTTGAGAAGGACAGACTGACAGCTTGGTCTGTGCTCCAAGAAACAGCAAAAAAACCCCAAAAACACTTATTGGAGTTCCTTTCTGCAATATTCAATGAAATTCCTACTGCAGTAAATAGTTTTTAAACAAACAAACAAACAACACAGAAAGCAGAGATAACTGATGGGAGAAAACAGAGGCTGTTTTCCAGGCAGTGACACTGCCACTTTAACAGTTTCCCACTGTACTTCAGTTTAGCTGCCAGAGAAGCCTTGTTCAGCCTATTTGGGGGCCCCATGAAATGCTGCAAGCGTTACTGAAATGAGCACTTGTCTTTTGTTGTGCTGCATGCTAGCACCATACAGTGCTGAGCTGATAAATCCACTTTTTCTAGCACAAGCATTTTTCAAACAAAACTGCCATGAGACTGATGAGTAATGCCAGCTTGCCAAAAAAGAAAAAAAAAAAAAAAAAGAAACAAAAAAAAAGAAACCACACCAGCACTGCTGACAATGACAGCTGTTAAATTCACATATCCACAAAATGAGATGGGTTACATAACTGGAAACTACACGAGCAACTAAACAGCAAGAGGAACTGCTAAGCAGGGCGCAAATCGGGATCAGGAAGGAGCGCATCACACGTCCCTGTGTACTCTGCCCACCAGTGATTGCAGACAGCAAAACTTTCAGGCATAAAAAAGTACTTTGTGAAATTATTATTATTTTATAGACACAGTGCTGAGCTCTAGAGAAGGTCTGTAACACACACAAGGCAGAGCAGGAAGGCAAACACCATCCTGTCACCACATCACCTGCCTTTATTTCAGCTAACCTCAAGCAAAATTGTACAAAATCAAAATAATCTGGGCTTCCATTTTGTTTGCTCATGGCCAGCTTCATTCCCATTATACGTTAAGAGATACTTTAATTTAGATTATAAATAAAGCATTTGACCTGGTGGAAATTTAGCGCTTACAAGTTTTTGTTACAAGAAGGAAGTGTATTCATGTGGCTATTCTTCAACTGAGAACTAAACATGAAATGAGCAACTAAACACATAAAGTTCCTCATGCTTTACCACATTACCTGTAATAAATGAGGCTAATGCAAAAGATGTGAAGACAAATTAGGAAAAAGAAATGAAACGCTCGAATGAATATTTTCAGAATGATGTCCCCTAAACCAGTGTGTAGGTACAGTCTGCTGTGTAGGAGAGTAGTGAAAGCAGAAGCAAAATATTAGATGTGCATTAAGCCACAAGCTGAGATTGCTGCAAACAATGGCTAAGTCTGTTTGCTCTTGGAAGCCTTAATGTAAGGAAACATCCTTATAAGAGATGAGACAAAAGCAGGTCTATAAGTGACAATCCCGTAGGCAGTGAAGGATTAAGAACTTCCTATAGCTCCTAAAGTATCAACCTACATTGTAACCCTTCCAAAAAGGCTGCCCTAAGAGCTTTCTCTGACTTAGTCTGCCCAGAATAGGGAAAAGCATCAGAATTAGTTTGACTTTCCCTCTGCACGCCAGCCATGCACACACTTAAAGCAGAGAGGAGAGGTGAAGAAAAAGAGAAGGAAGTGCAGCACTTATTCGGCATCTCCTGGCAGCACACCTGTCAGCCCAGCTGCCCACTTGCCCTCACTGCTTCCTGCAGTGAATGCAGAGCTTCTCCAGCCCTGCTCTTGGCTGAGTAGCGCTTCCCACTCAGCAGCACTGGAAATGTGGTTTTCATACAAAAACAAACACCAGCTAGGCTCAGGCTTCAGTGTTAATTTGTAGTTTTTATTTTCTTCATTTTGCTTTGAAGTGCTTTTTATTGTTGTTGTTTTGTTTTTCTTCTGCTTGCTTGCTTGCCTGAGTGAGAAAGCATGCTCATTTGCTACACACACGTAATTCATTTGAAAATATTTTCTGCTGCCTGATGGACCACAGGCTGAGACACAGTCCCGCAAAACAGGCATCCTCAGACCTTTCAGGTCGGCAGATCACTCTCAGCTGTCAGACTTGAGTGCGGGCTGCCACACACTCTTCTCATCAAAATTTTAATTGAAGACCATGAGCGTTATTATTTAATACAGTTCCACAGACCACCTGCAGCAAACTCACCAAGGCCCCATGGATTAGCAGTGATCCATATGATAGAGGCTGGGAAACACCAGCTCAGCGCCCTTGCTGATTCCGACTGCTCGTCCCTAACGCTGTGTTAAGCCCATTCATGTATATCATTCTGTTCAAATGAAAGCAGCCTGCACTTCAGAAGGTATTTAATGGAATCAAATGATTGGGAGTGAGAACTTCCCAGATCTGGAGTGGCCAAAGAAGATGAGCAATCCCACTGCAGCAACCACCAACACACACCACATCCCAGCTGTATGAGATGAACAATTAAAAAAAAGGCAAAGAGTTACAAAAGATGCAAATCCAGAGGCCTCTTTCAGGTGGCATTTGTACACCTGCAGTTGATTATAAATTGGACAGGATCTACAGTGTTCAGCTCAAAAGAATTTGCAACAAGTAAAAGGTCTCGAGATCTCTTGTTATTCCCTCTGCTAATGATTCCTCCTCCCAAGTCTTCTGAGAAAGTTTGGGGTAATTTTTATAAAGTTCCAGTGCAATGGTTGGATTCTCTGCTTTAGATGGTTGGATCAACCACCCTGCCTGTCAGGTTGAACTGTATGCTCACTTTACAAAGGAAATATGAATATTTTAAATAAATAAATAAGTAAGTAAAGCTGCTAAAAATTCTGCAGTTGCTTTTGAAACCACTGAGGATTCACCTTGCAGCTGCTCATAATTCCTATTTTTAAATGCTTTTTCTGAAAACCAAGCAAATACGCTGATGCTGATCCTCATCAAGGACTGCGAGCTCTGCCTTGCCAAGCTTAGTCATTGAGGGCACTCCCCTGAACTAACATGCTTGCTAATGCAAATAAATTGGTTTTAGTACAGTTCTATCAAAAATCAACAGCAACAAACTATGGGCAGTAACGAGGATGGAATTAGAGTGAGTGTTGTCACTGACATGCGTATGTAAGTGCATACATGATGATGTGCATATGTAAGTCTGGGTCTCACATTATTTAGGGCACAGTTCTGCCCCTCTTATTAGTACCAATTCATCTCCTGCTCTTCAGATAACCCCCATGGGCAGATTATGGCAGCCCTAAGAGGCAGAACCTCAGCCAACAGGCGGCCCCGGTTCTGGGCTTTGTGCAGAGCCAGGCTTTGTCCCAGTCCAAGCAAGAGGCTCTTGCTGTTGCAGCGGATGGCACTGCCTGGCGGGGCGATGCTGTTTAGCACAGGGAGCACAAAAAGTCTTTGGGCAGGATTCCCACTGGGATAAGTTTGTATAATTTTTCCAAGACTGGGAACAAACATTAACGCAATTTTCTTCCTTCAGAGCATTTTTAAAGTCACTCATAGTGTGAGAGCATTTTCCTCCTTGGAGACTGGACTTTGCTCCTCCATGCAGTTCCACTTACTCACCTGGTGACTGTGATTGTGAGCACGGTGTGCAGAGCTGGGGGCTTGCAGGGCTGATAATCAACCAGGACAGCAAATCCTCTTGCTCAGAGGACAAGTTTATAGATTTGTTTTAAAAAATTAAGCCTCTGCAGCAGCCTACCCTCATCCCCATCCCAATGGTTTGTTGCTTAAAATCTTACAGGAAAAATGTAATTTTCTCTATTATCTTCTAGGAAGATAAAAATTTTCTTCTGCAAAAACGTGTATACCCAAAGCTGTGGCTTGTCCATTTGAATTACAGATCAGCAAAGAAAGCCTGAGAAACTCTCCTACTTTCATTCCATTCTGAGTGTGACTTGATTTCCCAGCTTAAAAATAAATTTACACCAATTAAGAGCTCCTTGAATCTAGAAAGAACCCATACATTAGAGATATTCCTCCCTAAAATAAACATATTGCTTTAATAAGCTATCTCCTGGGTTTTAGGATCTTAAAGCAAAAGCGTGCTTCCCAGGGGCCCGTCTCACCACACGTCGGCCACCTTGGTTTATAAGTTAAAAATCAAAATATGAGTTTGGTTTGAAATATATAAAGTGCTCATTTCTCCTGTGTTCATGCTCGATTTGATATTGTTAGGGAGAAAAAAAGGGTCCTTGACAGAACGGTTTATTTGAGGAATGGTTAATGCTAATACAAACCTTCCACTAATGAGGATGTTTAAAATTGTTTTTTAATATGCCTTTAATGACCTCAGCTCCTCATACCTACCTCCTCGCTTCCAAAACTGTTTGCACTGTCCCCAATAACACTCAGCGGAAAGCTGTCGCTCCTGCCTAAATCCTTACTTAGGTTGGATGCTATGCCTCCGTTAGACAGGGTCACGAGGTCACAATCGATTTTGGAGGCCACCTGGAGAGCCCAGGCCGTGAACTGACTCAAAAAATTTATATCAGAGCGGGAGCGGCCCACCTCCCAGGGCTGAGCCCGTGCTAAGGCCCGGCCGTGGGACGGAGCCTGCAGCCCCAGCGCGGGGAGAGGCCAGAGTTGTTGACCCCGCGCGCTGACCCCTTCAAACTTCAGGAGAATTTTTCTGGCAGTTACCACGGTGACTGGGCACTCCAAGCTTATCCTTCTTACCACAGGGAAAAAAAAAAAAAGTTAAGAGGGAAAAAAAAAACGTTAAAACCTACCTCGTAGAGATGTCTATCAAGAAGCAAACATGTAAATGTTTTAATTGTTTGCTTCGCTCCTTGGGCTGCTCTGGTTCCAGCTACAGCATCCAAAGCTGCCGGCAAGAAATCGGTTTGGCTGAAAACATTTCGGCTTCTGGAAAAGAAACGTTGAATGGATTTAGCACTTCTACAATCTGCCTGTGGTCACGAGTGGCACGCTAAGGGGCTCATTGTGAAATCATTCTTATTTTTTCTTTCTATGTCTGTCCCCAAATTATTGCCATTTTTTATCGAATTCAGAACAAACTGAGGAAAGGCTCAGGAACGGATTCCGGCTGCCTTCAGCTTTTCTCCAGTTAAGAACCAACAGCCTGACGACAGCACTGAACACGCAGCAATATGCTGCTGTGGTCTCTTCAGAAGAGGCTGCGTAACCCACTTAATGCACCATGAAATATTATTTAACAAGTGCAAAAGAAGAAAAAAAAAGTTGTTAGACACCTTTACTGTTGTTTTTTTCAGGTACTTTGAACATGACCCATTTCTCACTTACAAAATGTCCCAGGTAAGCAAGTTCCCATGATGCCGACAGAAATGCACCGAGGGGTCAGGAAGTGCACTGAGCAAACAAGAAAACAAAATGCACCCTCTGTTCCTAAAACACTAAGTGAAAACTGCTGCTGCTTAATTTCCAAGCAATCCTGTACAACAGATGAAGCTTTTATGCAAATTTTTCGATTGTTCCTATACCTAAAGAGCACTTTCTGAAAGGGAGTGCAGACCAGCACGCAGTGTTAGTGGGAAAAAACCTGCTTAGGGCTTCCGATGGCCAACCTTCTGTCAGCATCCCCAGGCTGCTGTGGGCTGCCTGCTTCTGGACTACAGCTGAACAGGGTTTAATGGTAGAAAGTTTCACGTCATCTGGTCTCACACGCAGTCTTGGAGTATCTCTGTCTGTTTGCAGAGCTGAATAGAAATATCCAGATGTGTTCAGCCAATGCTCAGGGCTGAGGTGGCCGAGGGGTCTGCAGAGGTGGCCCTGGCACAACACAGTGCCTCAGCTCCTGTGGGTGGAAAATAACGCAGGTTTGTGTGTGAGAAGCAAACCGCGCACATCTGCTGTTTTGTCACACATTCATTTTTCATTTCCACTACAAGGAAGAGAACAAGGAAGGCCAGCATGTGTGCACCAACCAACATTAAAAAAAAAAAAAAAGCGTATACGGAGACTGCAAAGGACTTTTCCTCCACTCAGAACTGGTTAAATTGCTCTGAAACATCATATGCTTCAATGCCAAATAGATACATAGACTTGTGGTAATATCATTCAGCAGTTTTGAATTAACCGTGAAAACAATTTAAATTAAAAACACTTAGAGATTGTTTTCCTATTACTAGACAAAGGCTAAGCCTCTCCTTAAGAGATGAATTTTTTCATTTGTGCTTTCATTGTGGCTAAACAAGGTGGTTTCACGTTTTCCCCTTTTTTTTCTGCATGAAATAATCTAAGTTGGAACAATCAGGTGGCTGATTAATAGGCCAGAGGGAAGAACAGAAGTGTCTGTTACATTTTATTTTTTGCACTCTTTTTCAACAGCCCTGTATATACAAGCATGTGCTTTTCAATTAGATAGCATGATTTATGAAGTCATGCTCAGGGCTCGCCAGGTTGTTGACTCAGATTAGAGCTATGATGCCAGCTCACTCCCTGGTGACAAACACTGACTGTCCTTCCCGCAGCCAGGCACCCCTGGCAGCCTTACTAAAAGACCTTGTGGTTGGCAGAGTGCTGAGCAGGAAATGAGGTCCCCTCCGGTTCGGGACGGAGATGACTGGAGTTACAGAAAGCTGGAAAGCAAAACCAGGACCTCCTGAGTCACAGCCTTCCAGCTCCCAGGACCCCACAGCTCCTGGCACACCTGCACCCCCTGTGCACCCCCTGTCTTTCCAGGAGCCCCCGGAGAGCTTTGGGTCCGGCTGAGACCAGACAGCAACTCCATGTGGGAGAGGAGAAATGACGGCACAGCTGCCCCTGTTGTCCCCCCATGTCCCAGCCTGGCCTCAAAGCTCAGCACCCTCCACAGGGACACTTCCCTGCTCGGTCCCAGCTGGAAGGTTTTGGCACATCTTGGGGTGGTTTGCTAGCTGCAAGGCATTTATCTCAGCCTGTGGCTTGGGGATCTTTTGTGTGGCCTCCTCTCTTCTAGGAATTCCATGTATAAATCACTGGAAAGCAGGAAATCTGTAAGCTGTGGTGGGAAGCTCACGCTAGGTTTGGCACAGACAGCTGCAGACCACAGAGCATCTAGAGCTGTAGGTGATGTAGCAAGCCAACACTTGACCTGAAATGGGGGAACCCTATTCCGAGTGTTTCTAAGCCATCACCAGGCCTCTGGAAATCAGTTAGAAACTTGCTGGATTTATGGGAAAGGACTCCCTGATGCTCCCTGTATAACATTTTCAGTTTGAATTTCCTCAGTGCAATAGAAACAATAATATTTAGACCATTTGGGGCTGAGATTATTGCTCTAATAAATTGTTTCGGGTTTCTTTTTTTTATTGGTTCATTGTGGGAAATAAGTCCCCGATTGATTTTTCTCCTAATCAGCATGGAGAATGCATTTTGCTGTAATTAAATCCTGGGTAACTGGGCACTCTGTGTTCACTTGTCTCAGAGCTCGCCGTGCTACGAGATACAGCACATCAAACACCGCACTGTACACGATAGGCACCCTGCCAGCCCGGCAGCGATTATGCGAGCTCGCCTTCCGTGTGCTTACAAATGTGAGGAGCCGGAGCACGTATGGAGCAGCGCGCATCACTTCGGAGAAGTAGGAAAGTTATTAGGGGAGGAAGACGGACAGAGGGAAGGCTCAGCCCTTTCCCATCCCAGCCCGTCCCGCAGTACCAAGCCCCGGCTCCGGGCTTGGATCGGAGGCCTCAAAGCGGGGAGCGAGCGGCGGCTGCGGGCGGGGGGGCGGCGGGGGGCGGCTCTCGGCCCCGCAGCGCTCCGGGGAGCTCCGGCCGCATCCTGCCCGCTCAGCGTGCTGCTGCTCGTCGCCCCCCGGCCGCGGGGAAGCAGCCCGGCGGATAATTACCCCTCGCTGCAATCCGCAGAGCTGGCCTAATCCGAAAGCTCAAGTGCCCGTAAGTAAAACTTCAGGAAAAGTTATTGAAACTGACAAATACAGGGTGACAAATAATCAATAAAAGCCCAGTCCGACATCCTTTATTGTTTCCAGGCACTAACAGCAAGTAATGAAACCTCGGCGAAGACGGGGGGTGGGGTGGGGAGGGAGCGGCAGAACCCGGAGCTGGGCTGCCGCTTGGACGGCCCCTAGCAGACCCAGCACGGAGGGATCCCTAGGAAGGGGCGGGGAGCGGGGGAGATCAAAGTGTCCCCCGTTCCCCGAGAGGCGCCGGGACAGAGCTCGGAGCGGCCGATGCTCCGCGCGCGCACCCGCGCGGGTCCCCGAGCGCCGCGATCCGCTCTCGGCAATAAATGACAGGAGCGGGGACACGACGCGCTGCCGCTCATTAGCATCTCGGCCCCGGGTTTGCAACGCCGCAGTTTCTAAAGTTTCAGCAGAAGACGCCGGGCAAGATAAATCTGTGCTGTCGTTTCTCTCCCTTTCTGTCTCTCCGAATTAAGTTCTGATCTATCAGTTGAAACAGCGGCCAGAAAGTTGATTCGCTTTCTGTTAGGATTTCGGGTTCAACTGGGGGCTCCTCCCGCGGCTTTAAGCTTTTGAGCTGTGTAAATGAACGGCAGTGTCACATAATCGATAGGAAAAACTCAGCTGTCACAGATCCGAAAGCAGCCTCCCGCCACAGCAATAACGTGATTTGTCATTTCAAAGTTTGGGAACGTGCTGGCTGTGTGCGGGGATGACGTGCAGGGCGAGGTGGGGGGGGTACACTGACCCCAGCTCTGCCAGCACTTCCCCCCCTTTCCCCTCCCTCATCCCCCCCCCCTCCCCCACACCCTCCCACGTTGTCGCGGAGGCGGGGGGGGGGGGGGGGTGACCCAGAACAAATCCCAGTGTCATCGTGGCCTCACCAAAGCACCCGTGTCGTCCTCCCCCACCAAGCTTCCATCCCCACCCCACCCCCCTCCCCGGCCTCCAGGACGTGCCCATCTGGAGCACGCACCGTGAGAGCAACTGTGACCATCAGTCACTAAAAGCCACACGCTCCAGTGGGCCGGGGATAAAACGAAGTCCTGGTGACGCCTGGTTAAACCACTGACCCTCCTGCCAGCGCTGGAAAGGGATGGGGGGGTGGGGGGCGTTTGGGCAAGTCCCTCCCAGTAACCCCAACTTCGGAGAGATCGAGTTGGAGCTGTGCGGGGAAATGAGCGTCACCGGGCAGAGAGGGCAGTGCCGGGCTGAGGGACCACGGAGCTGACCTGCAGGGGGACAGACACTCGGCAGAGCCCCCCCAGCCCCCGCCGTGCCCCAGGCACCCAATGTAAACAGGGATGGCAGAAAGAGCCTCATGGGCACAGATTGTCCACTAAAACCTTTCCTTTTTTTTGATGGGAAGGACCAACCTGTGGCAGGGGATGCGGAGCTGGGAGGTTTCCCTGCTCTCAATCCCCGTCCAGTGCTGCACAGCCCTGTTTAGCTGCACACACACGCGAGAAAACAACACAGGCAGTGCACAGCTCACATGCACTCGGGGAGGGCTTTAGCTTCAAATTAGGAAGCTCTCTCAGATGAGCGATAAGTTCTCTTTGGTCAGACAGCAGCGTTTGATCGTATCTTTGTGTTTTTGTCCCCACCACAAAGGGACCTGCAGGCTGAATCAAGAAACGGGATTTCAGATCCTTTGATTTGACACAGAGAAACTGTTGCATTTGTAATATTGTAACACTCTAAAGGGAAAAAATGAAACCTCTGTAGCTGAGACAAGAAGTGTGCTTAAGTACCACTACATTTCAATCCCCATTTGGATATAATTTAAGTCTCCTCTGGCTTACAGTAATATACTCTACAACCTTGAGGCTATCCAAAAGGAGGGATTTAATGAGGCCGAGTTTATACACGTATATAATTTAGAGGCTTCGCCGTAGCTGTAAGATCACAATTGGTACATGTGTAGTGCAAAGGAGCTGAAATCCCATCCAGGGACCAAGTTGCTTATTTCTGAAGGAGCTGTCATTTCCAGCAGGGGGGACACAATAAGAAGGCCAGGAGCGATGGAGCTCTGATCTCCACCAAGGAGAGATAACCACCTGATTAAAAAGGGCCTCTTGTTCCCCCGTCACTCGATCGTCGTGTGAACTTCCCTTATTTACAATTATAGGCAATGAGAGAGTTAGCCAGACTGCAGTACACCCATAGCTTGGGGTTTATCCCTCCCTTTGTTATCAGGACCAGCTCTAGGGCAGCTTTGTGGACCGCTCACAACGTGGGAGCACAGAAGTGCTCTGAAGAATGGAGGTGATCCGTACATTCAGGGCCACACATATGAGCACCACACATACAGCCCCTCTGGGATCCGAGCGAAGGGGCTGGGCCCAGGTACGGCCCAATCAAACCAGGCTGCTCACAGCCCTCAAACATGTGTATGTACCACCAGAAAGCAAAGAAAGGGTCATCACACTGAAATGCCACATCATGCTCAGTACCTCCTCATTTTGGGGCAGTCCGAAGCACAGACGAGGACCAACAGCCCTAGTGACAAACATCTCCCCTGTGATGTGCTTACTTCCTTTTCCATCCTAATATTAAATGGCACAGTGTTTGCCAGATTATTATCCCACTATTGCTTGTGCATTTGTCTCTTATGTCTAGTGTCTGTCATTACACAAAGCATTTTGAAGAGCTAATTTCAAAAGACAGAAAGTCTACACTTACTATAAAAGTCATTAAATTAGCATGACAAGCATAAAGTTCCTAGGTTATAATTTGGTTATGGATCTGAAATCTCTCCTGCTCTCTCTCTCCACTTGAAGGATGAAGGCTGCAGCGAGGCATGGACACCAGTGAGGACAACTGAGCCACAGTGTGCAAATAGGGAACAGGGGAGAGGTGCAGGTTCCTTGGTACGGCAGTGGCGA